CGACAAAACAGATAGGAAGTCATACACAGGATACCTTTTCTATCTAGCTGGAGGACCGATATCCTGGAAATCTGAAAAGCAACGCAGCGTAGCCCTCAGTAGTACGGAAGCGGAATACATGGCGTTATCATCCGCATGCAAGGAGGCGATTTCAATAAGAAGACTTATATTGGAAATCGGTTGCGGCGAGTCTGAAACATCAACAGTTATGCATACCGACAATTTAAGCGCTCAACAATTGGCTAAGAATCCGGTACATCACTCGAGGTCGAAACACATCGACATCAGATACCACTTTGTAAGAGATGTAATTAAGGAAGGGCAAATTATGTTAAAGTATCTATCAACAAACCAGATGATTGCAGACATATTAACAAAGAACCTTCAGAAACAAAAGCATTGTGAGCTTACTAAAAAGTTAAGTTTGTATTAAAAATTATGATATGTAGGCTTACATTGAGGAAGGGTATTAAAACTATTGGAACAATGTAATCTCTAATCCTATAATATGTATCGATAGTTTTAGTTTGCAGTCTCCAGAAGTATCGAATAAAAACTTCATTCCTTTTCTTGTTTACTCAACCTACCGGACGTGTTTTTTCTACTGAAGCAAATATAACACCAATAATAATAAAAAAATATACTAACTGTAGAGCCCACGCTTTTGTGGCGGTTACACTTAGAATTAAAAAAAAAAATGTTTAATTGATTTTATTACAGATTCTCAATCCTTGAGAAATGTTCTGTCGAATAAGTATGGTTAAAATCGTTTTTGGGAACATAACTTTTTCGATTTTTGCAACGCTAATTGTTCGAGAGGCGCTACTGTGCATCGCCTCCTAACAAGCGGTCGCCAGCACAAAATATAAAAATTCAATTTTTTGGTGCTTGCGCTTGCGCACACATACGCGCTTGCGTGTTCTTGTGTTTACTCATACAAGCAAACGCATTCTATTTTTAGAACGCGATTGTCGTTGCCATCAAAAATGCAGCCTCATATTGCAAAACGAATGTATGGTCGTGAGGCATCTTGTTAAATCTATTGTCTTTGGTTATATACCTTTTTTTTTTCAAAAAAACGAAATATTTTTTTTGCTGAATCCTAAAGTATAATATCCCCTAGAGAACATTTTCCCAAATTTTCATAGAGATCCGAATAATAGTTCGATAGGAAAACAGCGTTTTGAGGCGCGACTTTAATAGTTGCATATACTCAACGTAATACTTTGAATGCGATTATCTCAAAGTCGTGTTTTTCCAAAAGTGCCTTTGCTGTGACCGCGATTGCACAAGAACTATTTGATCGATCTTCTTCATTTTTTTTTTTTAATTATTCGTAATGATTGTGCCAAGTTCGTAAACGATTCAGTTTCTATGCGCCAATTTTGATTTTGCAGATCAGAATTTTTTAATAAAATTTTTAGAACTCGAAAAATCAACTTTTTGGAAAAATCGTTACTGTATGCAGAAAAAACCAAATATTCTTGAAAATAATCGTTCACGAACTGGAAATAATACTATACTAATAAAAATTTTTTGGTTTTTTTATTTCTGTTGACCTGCTGGACTTCCATCGTGGTCACCGCAAGCCGCTATAAAAAAAGGGTTCCGAGAGAATTGCCATAACTTCGTAAATTATTTATATTTTTTCAAGAACAAACGCTTGTTGTTTTGATAAAAACATGTACTATCAATAAATAATAACTTCAGTGTCATAAAATAATTGCTACACACCTGAAAAAAATCGAAAGTTCCCTCAATTTTTTCGCTCAAAAAGGTATATAACCCCTTAACGTCAATTCTGCAATTTTATTTATTAAGTGAATGCAAATAACTTCCACTTTCCTTATAATATTTAATTTTTACGCAACTTGAACTAATATGCAAAACACTTCTGAATGCAAGAGAAGTCAACTCAAAATGCAAAGAGAATTCCAATTTACGAACTCCTGCAACCGCAGCTCCGAACGCAGATTGAAAACAACAACAAATATGAAGTCCGAACTTCTCGAACCAGTCGCCGAACTTAGGTAGAATTTGTTTCGGCTATTTTGTTTCGAACTTCGCAGAACGAGGTACATGTAATTTGTTTTGGTTCTTCGAGCATGCCGCCAGGAATCGGACGGGAAAATAATTTTGAAACTGAAGGGATGATGTAAAGCTTGCAAGAACAAGCATATGTTATGTTGACAGCAATTTTGGTGCAATTTTCCCCCAAAGCATGAGTATCGAGGTAAATAAGTCCACTTAAGCCGTTCAGGATTAATATATATCAGTTTATTTTTAAGCAGAGCTCTCATAAAACGGTCAACCATTTTGATCAATCAAGTTCTTTCGGAGAGAGAACAACCAAATAGTCTGAAAAGGGTCTCTTCTCGCTTCTTTGCTTTCTGGAAGCGAAGCAGCATCGAAACTACTCGCTTGCTTCTGAGTCGAAAAGGGAGCCTGAGAGAGAGAGAGAGAGGGATGAAGCTCTCGTTTGAGTTCATGCGTACGAAAAAATAAAAATATATTCTAGAAACAATTTAAACACAAAATAAGAAAGAAATAAACCCAAGTTTGTGTTAAATTCTTTTTTTTTTGGTTCATTTGTTATTTATTTTAATCATTTAATTTAATTTAATCATTTACAGTTTAAAATGTTAGTTTTATTGACAAAAAGGAAGAAATTGTGCAAACAATCAATTGACGCTACGCAAAATGTGCAAATTAACAGCGAGAACTTTCCGCGACGAGACCGGTCACACTTCAGACAACGAGCCCGCTCTCTCCGCTTCAACCGAGAGAAAATGGAAAAAGGGATTCCCAAAAGGGATTTTTGGCAACTTACCGGTTACGTAACCTCAATCTTGAGACTTTTTTGGGAATCGGGAATCAGCCCTGCGAGCTGTTCTTAAGTCTTGATATACAGTGGCTCACAGCTTATTTCGTGCAGAGGTAAACTTGAAATTCAAACTTGTATATCTGACAAACTATAGGAGATATGAAAAAAATGTAAACGCAGTTATGTTAAGTAGGGCTTAAGCATTTATTTAAGCCCTTAATTATTTTTCAATTCCACTAGATAACGATAAAAACTTAAAAAAGCGAAAAATATTGGTTATTTTTATGTCACAGCTTATTTCGTGCAAAAACTTTGGGTACATATAATTTGTAAATTGTTATTTTAAATTAGCTCATTCTTTTTGTAACTCATTGGAGGCGATATCAGCTAATTTATTTATCCCTCCGATGCGTTTCAGGAAAATACAGTTTTCTGTGAATTACTAAAATGCGCTCCGCACGACTATCGAACTGCGGGAATTGGTCCTTAATCATTTAAAAAATGGAAAAACTTGGCGAAATATTTCTTAAATAGTTAACCTTACCCTAAGTGCTGTTCAGTAAATCATCCCAAGCTTCAATCGGGAAAATCGGGAGGCATATATTGGCCGAAATGCTCCTAACCAAATTTTTATTAAGCTTGAGGAAAGGTACATTATCCGGAAAATTAATGTTAATTCAAAAAATTTGGCGACAAAACTAATAGTAAATGTTGGGCATGAAATGGCCTAAATGTATTCCGTGGAAACCGTCCGCCGTTTATAACGGGAACACATCTTTAAAGGCCGAGTAACCCGGAAAAAGCCCTTCGAAACCAATACAAATCCGAAGTGCAGGCTTAAATTGGCCAAGGAGCACATAATTTCATTCGATTTCGTTCTGGAATGAATTAATTTTCACAGACGAGACCAAATTCAATATTTATGAGGTCGGACCGAGAGCAATATGTTTGAAAACAATCAAATTCAGAGCTTCACCACAAGAACCGATCCCCTACAGCCAAGCACGGTAGTGGTACTCGCATGGTTCGGGCGTGTATGGCTGCAACCGGTGTTGGAAACCTAGTTTTCATCGAGGGAAATATGGCTAGAATATGTACCTTCAACTTTGGAAGGATAACTTGCTCCAGATCGCCGATATATTGGGCCCAAAGCGGATTTTCTGACATTACCATGACAATGACCCAAAGCAAAAATCGACTCTTGTGCAGACCAGGTTGATATGGAACTGCCCTAATGTGGTGAATCCACTTGCCCAGTCACCAAACCTTATCGTCCTTAAGATTTTGTGGGCATTTCTGGATCTGGGCATCCGCAAGAGGTCGATATCTTTTTAAAATGGTCTCATATCAGCCCCCTTGGAAGAATGGTCCAAGATTCCAAAGGAGTCCTCAGAAAAGTTGATTTCTTTAATTTAAACTCTTTTAGAGGATGTCATCAAATTAAGTTAAGACAAAAAAAATTTGTAAGTTTAAGAAAAACCAAAATATTTAAGATAAACTTTCTTGCACGAAATAAGCTGTGACATAAAAATAACCAATATTTTTCGTTTTTTTAAGTTTTAATCGTTATCTAGTGGAATTGAAAAATAATTAGGGATAAATAAATGCTTAAGCCCTACTTAACATAACTGCGTTTACATTTTTTTCATATCTCCTATAGTTTGTCAGATATACAAGTTTGAATTTCAAGTTTACCTCTGCACGAAATAAGCTGTGAGCCACTGTATATATATGGAGAAAAAAGGTACGCGGCTGATTTACTGCTCTTTCTTGATACTTCAGCGCGATTGCCAGAAATTTAAAGGGTGGCCAATTACACTGATATTATATGGCCAAAGGGTTCTCAGATGGGGTTACCGGATTGGTACTTTGAATAAGGCGCTGAATTCTAACAATAATCGTAGCTCCCGCCACAGCTTTTTACTCGTAGACTGATATTAAAGGGTATAGTCGAATTTTATTTTTTAAATAAATAACTATACAAAGAAAAAAAACTAATATAAAAAAATAAACGTTTTTTATTAAATTATATAGCATGTAGATCTTATGGTCTTATGTAATGCGTTACTCATTTGGTACCGGATATCTGACATTTATTTTTAACGGAAAAACGAGTCTTTGATTACGTACATTTGGCTGTGTTTATATCATTAAAAATACCTTCTTTTCTTTCTAGGGTTTACGAACATTGGAACTTTGCGTTGACAATTTACAACCCGACTTTTTATATGATCACATACAACCGGTGAGAGCAGCTTTAATGCAAGCTCTTTGGAAAACGTTGAGAAGTCAGGATAATGCTGCTTTGGTAGCATTTCGCGTTCTCGGAAAGTTCGGAGGTGGAAATAGGAAAATGATGGTGGAACCACAAACTTTATGTTACAATAAAAATGAGAAGCCAACAATTTCTATTATAACATACTTTCAAGAATACGAAACTGCAGTTGATTTTCCTGTCGACGAAGCTATTGAAGCCGCTTTTAGAGCATTGGGATCGAACTCGACTGATCAATTTTACAGACGACAAAGTTGGGAAGTAATTCGATGTTTTTTAGCTGCTTTTATATGTTTGGACGACGAGAAACATACACTACTTAAACTCTTTACTCATGTCGATTTTGTTGAAAATAACATAATGAGTTGGTCTATATTTCAACATAAAATAGATAACGCCTATATACGAGGCACTCACCAGACAGCCTTAGTTGGAATGCTGGTAGCTTCAGCGACGAAAGATTTACGAGATTCTGTCTGTCCAGTTATGGCTGCGGTTGTAAGACATTATACGATGGTAGCTATAGCACAACAGGCGGGACCATTTCCCCAAAAACGACACCACGCTTCGACTGGAATAGACCCAATGGTGTTAATTGATGCTTTGGCCTCATGCATGGGACATGAAGAAAAGGAATTGTGCAAACCTGGAATAGCATGCATGGGTATTATTCTTGACACTGCTACAAATATTATGGGTAATAAAGAACGCGCTTGTAGATTACCCATAATCCAGTATTTGGCAGAAAAAATGATATCTCTATGTTATGATCGCCCTTGGTACTCAAAAGTCGGCGGGTGCCAAGCTATTCAGTTTCTATGCAAGCATATGTCTCTACGTGCTCTGTTTCAAAATCTTTTTAATTTCTTAAAAGCATTTATGTTTGTATTAATGGATTTAGAAGGAGATGTCTCCAATGGTGCGATAGAAATAACAAAGAACTATATGAAGACCATGTTGGAAATTTGCTTAAGCCCCATAAATGGAAGCTACAAAAACGATGATCTTGTAGATTTACAAGCTAAGGCTACATATGAAGTAATTCATGAACTTGTGAGACATATAACAAGCCCCAACGCAATTGTAAGAGAAGAATCAATGACATTATTAAAACACATTGGCACGATTCAATCAAAAACTGTTTCTGAAGTTATGGATCCGCATAAGGATGTTCTCGCTGACATAATACCCCCAAAAAAACATTTGCTAAGACACCAACCAGCAAATGCACAAATCGGTTTAATGGATGGAAACACATTTTGCACAACTTTAGAACCACGGCTATTTACAATTGGTAAGCTACGATATATGTTAATTAATTAATTTTCTTAATAAGTAATCTTCGGGAAGCTGAAGTTTGTATACATTTTCATTTTGCAATAATTTTGTATAGAATACAAAAACAACGATTTTTTATAAAATTTGTTGGTGTTGTTTCATTTTTTGAGTCAATAATGAAATAAGTTCCAAAAAAAATATTAAGTGCCCAAAAACAAAAAACCAAATAAGTTCCCAAAATTTGGGGTGGTGGTTATGAAATCAAAATAACATCACAAATATAAATATGAAATAACACCCCAATCCTAAAAAAAATTGGAAAAAGAAAATGAACCAACAACCCTCTTAAAAAATAGTAATACTAATTTCTATTACCCACATTTAGGTTCAAATAGAAGATGCTGATCATAATTATTTTTGATTCACTCCGATATGTTACATACAGGCCTGTTCTAGTTTCCACTTCCGAAAAATTCTTACGGATTCGTATTTTCTTCTGTTAAGTCTCTGTTAATTTGCAGGCGAAACGCTCGGAAACTTTCCGTGTGCCAATGGGCCGGCGGATTCAAATCCGCAAAATCAGAAATTAATTATTTTAAAATACAATGCGATTATATAAATTACAAATTTTAATTGTATTTTATTCCTTAAGGTTTTGGGAACAATTATTATAGCATAATTGAATTAGCTAATACTAAAGTACTTGATTTATAAATAATTATTTTGTGGTTGCACCTTAGAATCGCTTCGATTCAAACCTTTTGCAATATCGCAAATCCGCTGACCCTGTCATAGTTTCCGAAGGGGAAAGACGAAGCTAAGAGGAACATTTTAAGGGATGACAGAGTACAAAAAAACAGTTTGAATATGCCTGATATTATTTCTGAACAATTGTTTAATGATTTGTTATATTATTCTAAGAAATATTATTAATGCTCGTTAAAAATATTTATTTTTGGTAAAAACACGACGTAAAAACGCAACAATCTTTAAATCAGAACGGGCAAATCAGCTGTCATCTGCATGAGTTTTCCAATACTTCTTATCGACTATTTCCAGCACCGCCTCCAAAAACCGAAGATTGCGATCTCGAATATTAAAAATGATCTTTTTACGGCCTGGAATGCTTCTTCCTTTGATTTTAAACAATTACCGTTGGAAACTACAACGGGCCAAAATTTGATCAGCCCTGAATTAACAAAACTCTGGCTAAACAAAAGCAGCGTCCAGCTGATTTTTGGTGTGATTTTAGGAAAAATTTCGTCAGAAAACCGATTTTTTTTTAAATATAAGGTATTTTGTTGAATATAGAGTATTTTAAAGCCATCTCAGATTTTTGATTAACAAAAAGTTACTTAAGTAAAAAATTTTAAAGTATACATTATTTTTAAAAGCTAGACGCAGTACCTGAAGAACTAGTTAACCCTTTCATGACCACTGTTGCCTATAGGCAACATTGACTTTAAATTTAAATTTCGGTTACGATTCAAAATTTTTGTGAACTTTTTTTTTATGGGGGATTCCCCTTATTATGTTCTTTCATTTTTGGTAATTTTTGCGAATGCAGCTGCAGCGTGTGCTCAGTTATCACTAATTATTCGAAGCGACCACAGCTGCCGAAAAATTTTGCCAAAAATTTTGCCAAAAAGTGTCCGTGAAAAAGTTCGATTAACTAAAATTAGTGACAAATATTAAAAAAATAAGTACGTACACATCTTTAAAATAGGTAAGACTGTGATAAAAGTATAAAGTTGGGCTTGAAAATTGTTTTATACAGAGTATGGATGGACAAATGTTGCCTATAGGCAACATTGCAGTAAGAACATACCAAAGGAGTATCGAAAATCAAAATGAACGCTAATTGGGGCTCCTATTAATCATTTATGGCGTTAAATATTTCCTATGTGTTCCCAGTTTAATTTGGGCATGAAAGGGTTAAAAAAGTTATGTGCCAAATTTCAATAGTTTGGTTACGATTGGTTTGGTAAATTTTAAGCTAACGTATACACCGACTTTGTAAATGACCCTTTTCCGGAGTGCGTTTCAAACTGGCTCATACATTCAACACCAAATGACCTATGTGGAACTACCAATAACTTCGTCAATTTTGCTATAATCGATGTAAAACTTTAAAAATACATTTTTAAAAAGCAGCTGTACCCTGGCCAAAATTAATAGATAAAGAAAGTACAGTCAATACTCATATGACATAAAAGTATGTAAAAAATGATGCAATCTATTTATAAAGGCGAAATAAGCCGTTAATTAGGAATTATAATTCATTTCATTTGGCATCCCAACAAGGTTTCCGAACTATGACAAAGTTCTTGAGCTGCTTCAAGATTATTTCCTCCGGAGTTATACAAGGAAACTGGAACACTTCATGCCAAAGAGCTTTGATAAAATGTATCCAAGCCAAATGTTGCAAATTTTTATCCATTTGATATTGCTTTTGCCTTAGTTGATTTTTCTCAAGTTCGGGCGGAAGTACCTTGCCACCCCAACCGGTTGAACCCGACGGCCATCGATGGGCCACACATAGTTCAATATGATCCTTAGTTGTCCGGATGTTAATGTATGAACCTGAAGATTTTTGAAACCCTTGAGGATCCAGACGGTCTCTTGGAGGCTTCTTCTTTTTTTTTTAAATTGTTTTTATGAAAAAAAAATTTAATTTTTTAACTTTAATACCCTTTAAAAAGGCGAGCGTGGTACATTATGCAGTACATATATATATTTTACAACAATTACCTGTACAATGCCGCTCAAATTATTCGATTACCTTATTTGGTTCAAAAGATATGATTTTTGCAACGCTAAATGAGAAAAGTCTCCTAGGTCGACGGACCCTTTGCCCCATGGCAATGAGGAATTTCGCCAAAACGATCTTGTTCTTATGATGATTGAGCTGCTGAACCCTTGAGTGTTATCTACATTCATTAAATCACTACTCCTCTTTGGACTCGCCCAGCTTCGGTTTTGGGCGGCGTTAACGATGGGTTTCCAGACTTAAGTCCTTCTTAAAAGACCCCTTTTGTTGCCAAAAATATCATTGATCCTACTTGGAATTGGTCCCTGGTCTCTTCGATCCTTCGGATGCATGCTTTCCTTTCTTCTCTTGGCATAGGGTGGTTTTGCTCTGGACGCGGCTCTAGATGCGAAGAACAGCCTTGTACTGTACAAACCTCGCTTGAATGCTTCGGCCCGTCCCTGCGCGGTGAGATGGTGCCTGGCTTAGGAGTGCGGAGAAGGCTCACTTCCTGCTGTTTTAAGAGCTGCATGCTCTCTAGGCCCAAGTCTGTATCGACGACCGCACCTGAACGACATCATTTGTTTTGAGATGTTTTAGTGATAGTATCAGTATAATAACCTAGAGGTGTCACCGCTGGCGACACGCGAAGAGGATTGCTCACCTCCGTTCGCGCCGGTGCACAGTGGGCCAAGTGCCTCGGGTAAATTTATTGATATTTTAATGAAATTTTTAAGATAATTTTCTGAATGTATTCTTGACATATTCTGAAAATATTAATATCTTACTTCAATTAAATCTAATACTTTTCATAAAATATACTTCATTTTGTAACTTTATAGTGTTTCAAAAAATATATTTTTAAACATTTTAAATTCAATTAACAATTAAATAAAAAAAAAACAAATTAAAGAAATATATATATATACATATATAACATATAACACACCAGTTAAGGCTATTCAGAATGTGTCGATGTCGACCAATGATCACGGCACCATGAATTAATATTTGTGAATGGAATTACACTGAACTTAAGTTTAAGCTCTTTTCTGATTCTTGCTATGAAATTCTGGTTCTCTGAAAACCCGTCTCGCAGTATTTCCATTGCACATTGGGATGAAATGCCTTTATTTTGGCCACAACCGTAATTTTAAAGCTAGAAAGTTGAAACTTGGAGAATTTGCTGCTTATATTATTTGTGAATTTCGTTTTTTTTTTTACACTGCCACCTTTCCTTCCCTGCCGCCCACATAATAGAACTGCAGTATATTCATATAAAATTCATATTAATGTCGTTATATTTTTTTTTTTCATTTTTTTATCCATAATTGTTAGACAATTTTTTTATTTTAATATTTTTGCATATTATAACATAATTTGATAAACGAAAACTTAAAAATAAGTACATAAACTTGTATTAATATAAACGTTCTTCTTCTAAATCAAAATCTAAATATGGTATACTTGTAAGGTCGTCTTTAATATTATATACTTGGGCTGCATCTTCTGGATTTGGAGAAGCTAAAAGTGCAATAACTTCACTTGGCAATGAGTGTGATTTTGAACTCTTTTTTTGAGCGATGCTTGATAAGTAAGGATCAGAAGAATCCAAAGCTCGATGAAATACGTCAGTTAAATTGTTCACTCGGCTATTTTTCCTCGCATGCAAATCAAAAAGTAGCGATGACATTGCGATTATTATCCAGCCAAACTTCCTGTAAGTCACCTCGACGAATTCCAACCTTGCTCGCATCTGTTGAAATATCAAACCCCCCCGCAAGTTCCCGCAAATTATTTAAATGCTATCTGAATATACACATAATAACAGATACTACCACATAAGCTGTTATTTGAATCCTGTTGTATCTTGCTAGATATGCTCCACGAAACACAAATATTTTAAGGTTAGAATCAACAAAACTAGTGTTTACGTATTTCATTAAAAGCATGACAAAACAAAAGCACATATAATTAATCACTGTTACAGATATTTTCTACATACCATGTGAAACATTTTCCATTTTAAGGTATTTTAATTGGTCAAACTGTTTAAGAATACGAGAACGTCAAAGTTAAGAAACTTGTCTAATCAGCAAACTGGCACGCACTACGTGGCAAGAACAGTTGACTTTCAAGGGCTGGTGGAAGACAACGGCTGGACAATAAAATACCAATTAAACATTTTTGATGTCTAGGGACATTTCTTAGCTTAAAATAATTGTAACAATATTGATATATTAACACGAATTTTTTAGGTTTTGGCCAAAATAAAGGCATTTCATCCCAATGTGCATTGTTTGTATTTCTAGTGCTAGCTATAGGTATGTCTACCAATAAGCCTATTTCCTCTCCTCACATGTCGACTCCTATACTAAGTTGGCTACTTTTTTGACTTGGGCTTTTGGGCACAGATCACCAAGAATTCTTCCTTGGTCTCCCAATATCGACAAACTTTATTTTTCTCCTTGGGATTGACATTCCACCTATAAAGTGTAATAGAATTGAGAATTGGACGTAGTTGGCTTCCATTTTGGACATTTTGACACCACAGGGACTTACACTTATAAAAAATACTAACATTAGTTTGAAAACGATTGAATCACATTAGTTAGAGTCCAAAGAAGACAGTAAAACCTTTAAAAATCATTAATTCAAAATCATATTAATAACAATATATTTTTAGGCTACACATATGTAGATAGACGAATCACGAACACATTTTTTATATCTAGTACATACCTTAGTTTAACGAAAACAACGGTTACTTCAATAAAAAACAAGAAAGGAAGCTAACTTCGGCACGCCGAAGTTTGTATACCCTTGCAGATTGGTTTTGAGGTTTATATTATAGATTTAAATGCTGAAAACACTCACAAAACAGAGTTTCATTACATGTTACCTATACTTATTATGTTTACAGTTTGACAGTTACAGTTTTACATTCCCAGTTTTACATTTTCTCTACATCTACCGATCGGTTTATATGGCAGCTATATGATATAGTTGTCCGATTTTTATAAAATTTATACCATAATTCTAGAATAATAAAAAAAGCTTATATCTCAGAGTAGATAAACATACGTTGAAAAACAACGAAACTATAATTTTTTTCCTATTTATTTCTCGTCCGTTCCTATGGCAGCTATATCATATAGTCGTCCGATTTTCATAAAATTTTTACCAAAATTCTGAAATAATATAAAATGGCCATATCTAAAAAATGGTGCAAAAATGTTGAAAAACAGCAAAGTTTTTTTTTTCTTACAAATATATCGAACATTTGTATGGCAGCTATATGATATAGTCGTCCGATCCGGCCCGTTCCGACATATAACAGGTTGGCTGATAAGTCCCCGGTCTAACAAAGAAAAACACATTTTTTTGTCAAAATTCGTTATTATTATTTAACATAGTTCCCTTCAAGAGCGATACAACGATTATAAAGACCTTCCAATTTTTTGATACCATTTTGGTAGTACTCCTTCGGTTTTGCCTCAAAATAGGCCTCAGTTTCGGCGATCACCTCTTCATTGCAGCCAAATTTTTTCCCTGCGGGCATCCTTTTGAGGTCTGAGAAAAAGAAAAAGTCGCTGGGGGCCAGATCTGGAGAATACGGTGGGTGTGGAAGCAATTCGAAGCCCAATTCATGAATTTTTGCCATCGTTCTCAATGACTTGTGGCACGGTTGTTTTTGGTCAAATGTGAGCTCGCGCGGCACCCATTTTGCACAGAGCTTCCGCATATCCAAATGTTGATGAATGATATGACCAACACGTTCCTTTGATACTTTAAGGCCTATGCTATCTCGATCAACTTTATTTTACGGTCATTCAAAATCATTTTGTGGATTTTTTTGATGTTTTCGACGGTAACCACCTCTTTCGGGCGTCCACTGCGTTCACCGTCCTCCGTGCTCATTTCACCACGATTGAATTTTGCATACCAATCAATTATTTTTGATTTCCCTACGGCAGACTCCGGAAACTTATTATCAAGCCAAGTTTTCGCTTCCACTGTATTTTTTCCCTTCAGAAAACAGTATTTTATCAAAACACGAAATTCCTTTTTTTCAAATTTTTTCACAATAACAAAAGTTGCTTCACAAAAGACGCTCTATCTCACAAACTAATTGACTGACAGACGTCAAATTTTGAGACGAATCATTTAAAGGTTAGTACTATATAAAAATAATATGCATTCAATACTAGCGACGTCATCTATGTGTCAGACCGGGGACTTATCAGCCAACCTGTTATAGCAGTGAGAGCATATAGAAGACTATATGCAAAGTTTCATTCAGATAGCTTTAAAACTGAGGGACTAATTTGCGTAGAAACAGACAGACAGACAGACGGACAGACGGACAGACGGACAGACGGACAGACGGACAGACAGACAGACGGACATACGGACATGGCTAGATCGACTCGGCTGTTGATGCTGATCAAGAATATATATACTTTATAGGGTCGGAAACGTCTCCTTCACTGCGTTGCAAACTTCTGACTGAAATTATAATACCCTGCAAGGGTATACAAATTAGAACTTTGGTGTTTTTCAACATTTTTGCACCATTAGATATGGCCATTTTATATTATTTCAGAATTTCGATAAAAATTTCAAGAAAATCGGACGATCGGGAAATTAATAGGAAAAAAATTATAACTTTATTGTTTTTCAACGTATTTTAATCTACTCTGAGATATATGCTTATTTTATTATTCTAGAATTTTGGTATAAATTTCATAAAAATCTGACAACTATATCATATAGCTGCCATAGAAGCGATCGGTAGATGTAGATAATATGTAAAGCTGGGAATGCAAAACTGTAACTGTCAAACTGTAAACATAATAACTATATAGGTAAAATGTAATGAAATAATATCTGCAAGGGTATACAAACTTCGGAGTGCCGAAGTTAGCTTCCTTTCTTGTTTGTTATAATTTTTGACACAAAAAAATGGTTTGTTTTAAATGTAGTAACAACTTTTTATAGAGTTAAAGCTCTCGTCACCATATCTATATTGTCGTATAAGTGGAACACATCTTCAAAAAGCTCCAAGTGCCTAGTGTTTGGGAATGTTCACAAACTCACAATAAATGGATCAGATGATATCCGTAGCATTTGCATAACATAAACATTTGTGTGTACAAACAAAGTTTTTATAGTATAGTTTTTTTATAGTAAACGTGAACTATTTGTAAACATTCCAGTTTTATCCTTCCTCGTTTAGCGGGTTTCACGTTCCTTGCCAAACCCCTAGTTCAAATAGAAGGTCGTTGGGGAAAATATGGGTATTATTTTATTTTCTATATTCGAATCTTTACGAACGCCTGTGAATGATATATGTACTGGTTAGATAGAAAACGATAGAATAATAAAAGTGTTTTCGTGCAAAATAAGGAAAAAACATTACTGTTTGGTACTCCGTTCACTTTTTATTAAGATATTATTATTGAATTATTATTATTATTGAAATTTTTTTGATAAACTTTTACTTTTGCTTTTTCAGATTTGACAAATACATACCACAAGCTATTTTTCCACGAGTTACTTACCTTAAGTGAAGCCGAGGATACGACATTGGCCAAGCTGGATTGTTATAAAAACGTAACGAATCTTATACCCCTCAGGACTAGTGCTTTGAGAGCCTTAGCAGCTTGTCACTATATAAACGATATGGGTTATAAAGAAAAAATCATTAATATACTTTTTAAAGTAATGGAAAATGATAAAACAGAACTTCAAGAAACTGCATATGTATGCATGAAACATTTTATAACTGGAGTTACACTTGAAAAAGATAAAGTAAGTAAGACGGCAAAAGAAGTAGATTATTTGTACGGCGAATATCCTATATTCATTTGTATTTTATAATATTAACTATTATGCATAAAATGTTTTTACAAAGAAATATCTAATTAAAAGTTGGTTAATTCGGTTCAAAACTTCTGCTCTTCCTAGTTATCTTTACGGTTCGTCGAACTTTACCGTGCTCAACGCTCAGTGTTATATAAATTATTTACCTCGCTTTAGGGTTCAGTTCTTCTTCCTCGCTTTAATAACGCTACAGCAAACTCTGATCAGGCCATCGCCAATCTTTTTGCAGAGTTTTTTAAAACTACGTACTTTTCCTCTTTTGATATGCCCGGGTCGAACCAATTCTTCAGTCCTATTTTAAACGAAAGCTCCCTTAGTTTGGATCTTCATCGCGTAAAACCAGTTTATTCACCGGGTCCAAATGGAATACCAGGCTGCGTGCTCAGGAATTCCCCTTCTGAAATTATTTACCGGATCTTTAGAAACATCAGAATTTCCCTTATACGGTCTTCCCACACACCGTCAAAACGCATCCACCGTCCGTTGAACAAACGGTCCATAAGGTTTCGCCGCTCCGAATTTTCTTAAATGACCGGCATCAATGCGCATCTAAATCTAACGAAAAAAATGAAAATTTGACCAACAAGCTTGGAGCTTGGAACAAATTAAATGTGGAATTTAAAATGTGGCGCCAAAGCTACAAGCATGCCCAAAATAATTGTTGGGGTTTTTTTTTTATATTCTTGCCTCAAAGTGTCCCCAATTCTTTCTATTTATTATAAAACGCCTACCTCTACTTTATTTTATAGATTTGGGAAGCCTATACCACCTATACACAGTCTTCGGGGAATTTGCTTTGTTAGGGAATAATCATTAGACCTATCGCTAAAACGAGAAAATTTGTTGAACACGGCAAAAATGTTGTTGTCAAATCTGAGGTGCGGTCAGAAATAAATTTTTTATAAAATCTGCCAGAATGAGCTTGTGGTGGTGTGGAATAAACATCAATAGACCACTGTGTAAACTATTTTTTTGCTTTTTTTCTTTAAATAAGATCTGATTTTATATAAAAAAGCCATTTATTTTCCATTCCGGCCAGAAAATGGGGCTCGTTTTTCAAATCGGAGCACCGATTACTCGTTTTCAAAAACGAAAACAATAAAATCTTACCGTTTTCGATTACCGTAGCAGGCCAGAACATTTTATAGCTGCCATAGGAACGATTGGAAATGTTAAGAAAGCAAGAAAAGAAGCTAACTTTGGCACGCCAAAGTTTGTATACCCTTGCAGTTTGCAATTGGATCATTAAGAATCGATCCATTCTGGTCAATTTAATAATAATAATAATAATAATTCAAAAATAATAAAAAGAAATGTAAAAGTTACATATACATAATAATAATTTGGTTTTTAAAAAATTAAAAAAAAAAAAATTTAGTTAAAATTATAAATTTAAATGCTGAAAACACACACAAAACATAGTTTCATTATATATTAACAATACTTATTATATTTACAGTTTGACAGTTACAGTTTTACATTCCTTGCTTTACATTATCTCTACATTGACCGATCGTTTCTATAGAGCTATGATATAGTTATCCGATTTTCATAAAATGTTTACCAAAATTCTAAAATAATAAAATAGGCTTATATCTCAGAGTAGATGAAAATACGTTGGAAAACAAAGAAGTTTTGATTTTTTTCTATTAACTTTCCGATTGTTCTTATGGCAGTTATAAGATATAGTCGTCCGATTTTCATAAAACTAAAACCAAAATTCTGAAATAATCTAATAATTTTTTCTAAAAATGTATCGAACATTTGTATGGCAGCTATATGATATAGTTGTCCGATCCGACCCGTTCCGACATATATAGCAGTGAGAGCATATAGAAGACTATATGCAAAGTTTCATTCAGATAGCTTTAAAACTGAGGGACTAGTTTGCGTAGAAACAGACAGACGGACAGACGGACATAGCTAGATCGACTCGGTTGTTGATGCTGATCAAGAATATATGTATGTATATACTTTATAGGGTCGGAAAGGTCTCCTTCACTGCGTTGCTAACTTCTGACTGAAACTATAATACCCTGCAAGGGTATAACAAGACTGCATCATTACTTTTCTTGTCAAATCTGTAGGAGTGGCTAAAACCCAAAAAAAGGGGTCGTACGTAGATTTTTGTCCGTGACTTTAGCTGCACAGGGAACGATCGATGAAGAGTCTCTTATTGGATACATTGTGGATGAGTTAGACATACAAAAAGAATTAAAATTTTACCTATTCAGCTGTACACGATTTTTTCGAGCTCAAGGAGAAATTCGAGATATACCATACATATGTACCAACGCAAGTCATGTGGCAAGTGGCAAGAAAAACATGTCCAGTGCCATAAAACGAAAAGCTCGTTGCTTTAACTATTGATCGGCAGAGCACCTTAGAACGGATTGCACGGTTGATATCAAGTGCTTTGAATGTGATGGCGTAAGACATAACGCAAGGGATTGTCCACAAGTAATCTAATCCTAATTAATTTTAACTTAGTGCGGATAAAATCTGCAGTATCATGGTTTTGCTGTTGTTCAACAGCCTAAATAGTAGTAAACTATTCATTTTACTCTCATTGCCGCCATTTCAGTCATCTTTGTTTATTTTATATGTAGATGAGACACAGCTGATATCCGATGGTAAACGGAGATGTAGCTCTGTGCGAATTGGAGTTTCACAGCTGCGAAATATCCCAACTGATTTACACTGACAGGATATTTGGGAAAACATAATAAGGCTCTATTTGCTGGAACTGATTATTAAGGATGGGGGTGGCATGAGTCCTCGACTAAAGATCCAGTGAAAAGGAAGATCGGGAAAACGACTGTACAGCAGTCGAACTTTTGGAAGCTTGGCGGGCAGAGGGGAATGCAGTGATTCTCCTGACCTGAACACTGAATTAATTCCTTTAGTTTTAGAATTGTATAAAAGTCCTAGTTCTGTTAAATGAATAAGTACATTTGTTCATGGTTTTTTTATCGCTCTTGCGAACGTACGATATTTCACATATGTTTTCAACCTCACATTTTCTGGAAAATAACTAAATACATATACTGTAATACAGAGATTTGAAAGAAAGGTGCTAACATATCATATGTTTTGGTTATTTTAGATTCGTACATTCGGCGGATGTGCGCATATAAGTAGGAAAAACACAATATATATCTAAAATGTTGATGTTGTTTCTTGTTTATTTATTTAGATCAAAAATATACAGCATTATTCCTATACTTTTATTTGTTCGATCTTTTCAGGTGCAATCTGCCATGCGTCCACTTCTGTTAAAATTGGGCGATCACAGGAATTTATCTATTCCGGCTATTAAACGATTATCATATTTTACACAGTTATTTCCCCAAATGTTCAATGAAAAGCTAAGTGAACAGATATTGCAGCATTGCTCAAAAATAATTGAAATATTTGTTGGAGACTATAAGTGTGCAAATTCAAATATAAATTTTTTTGCGTCATCAAAAGGTGGAGAGTATGAACAGAAAATTGTTACTCTTATTGAAATGTTTTATCATATTTCTGCATCAGTAAAGTATATAGAAAAGTTGTGTCACCTAGTATTAAAAACTGAAAAGAACTTATTAATTGAGGCATCTAGCCCGTATCGGGAGGCACTTCTTAAGTTCCTTCAACGATTTCCAGTTGAAACTGTGGATTTATTTTTAACGGAAACTTTTATGATAGATGCTCAATGGAATCGATTTTTTATATATATATTGAAGCATAAAATCGGATCCTCTTTTCGAAAAATTATTCAAAAAAATAAATACACCAAATTATTGACTTACATAAACTGTAACACCGAACTTAATCAAGCCCATATATACGAAGCTCAGCATCAGGCCGTTCTGGTCATTTTTACATTAATGGAATCAGATGACCAGTGGATTCCGACACGGCCAGACATTATAGATGTCCTTAAAAGTTGCTGGAAAAGTAACTTGTTCTTGACATGCGATGAAAATGTAGCTTGTGATTTGTGGCATTTAATTGGAAGAATACTTCTTCTGTATTTTTCACATAATACAAATGATATTGATTTACTTTTTCAATTATTAAGAGCATTATGTTTTCGGTTTATACCTGACGTCTACTTCTTACGAGACTTTTTACAAAACACAGTGGCACAAAGCTTTACCGTTACTTGGAAACGAAATGCGTTTTTTTACTTTGTTGAAAATTTTAATAATAACACAATTTCCGAAGAGTTAAAGGCCAAAATTATAACAGCTGTTATAATTCCATGTTTTACTGTAAGCTTTGATAAAGGCGAAGGAAATAAACTTATTGGCGCTCCCCCAACACCGTATCAAGAAGATGAAAAGAATATTGTATCCGTTTTTATAAATAAAGTTTTTGACCCCGATAAACAATATGATGACGCGGTGAGAATTGCTTTGTTACAACTAGCATGTTTATTGGTTGAACGCGCATCTCAGCACATACACGATGGTGATGCTAATAATAAGCGACAAGGTAATAAACTAAGGCGTCTAATGACGTTTGCTTGGCCTTGTTTACTGAGTAAAAATTCGGTGGACCCCACTGCCAGATATCACGGTCACTTATTGCTTGCCCATATCATTGCCAGATTAGCAATTCACAAGAAAATAGTGCTGCAAGTATTTCATTCTTTGCTAAAAGGGCATGCTCTAGAAGCCAGGTCTATAGTAAAGCAAGCGCTGGACGTGCTAACACCAGCTATGCCATTACGAATGGAAGACGGGAACACAATGCTGACTCACTGGACAAAAAAAATTATTGTGGAAGAAGGTCACGCTATGCAGCAGTTGTTTCATATTTTACAACTTATAATTCGTCATTATAAAGTAAGTATATTGTTTGTTTCGCAGTCAAGTATTAATTGTTTAATTTACATTATAGGTCTACTTTCCTGTTAGACATCAACTTGTGCAACATTTAATTAACTATATGCAGCGCCTGGGATTTCCTCCAACTGCATCTATTGAACATAAAAAACTAGCTGTCGACTTGGCAGAAGTTATTATTAAATGGGAGCTACATCGTATTAAACAAGATGAGCGAGATAACAAAGTTGAAGGATCTGAAGATGAATTATTGCGGGAAGCCTCAACCAAACGTCCTGGAGCCGACTTATTAGATCAGAGAAAAAAGTCATCGGACATTACAGGACAAGGAAAGTATAAGCTATTTTATCTTACGAAAAATATACCCCCTTAGAGCAAATATTTTAAATACAATTGGAATTGTAAATTCTATTTGTTTCTTTCCCGATACCTTAAGGGGGTCTTCTCATTCAAAAGCCGTTTTTTGGACTCTTTTTAAAAAAATTCTAACTTGAAAACGCAAAGAATAATTGAAATCTTTTTTTATTTATTGTATTCAAAAATGTTCAAAGTAACTAAAAAAGTTGTTCTTGCCTCGATACGAGGGTTGTGCAAAGAGTAATGAGACTTTAAACTTGGTGGTCGAAAAAAAAGGTGTCGTCCTGGCGGCCACGATTCAGGGTCTCCAGAGCGTCCGAAATAAAAAATAAGAACGGGGTTATAATCAGAATAGATGTCATTTTCGGGTGACGGAACAGATTTTTTTTTTAAATTTTTTTTAAACAAAATGGCGGCCATTCAAAATAAAAATTTCGTTTTCGGGCTTTTTTTTTTGTAGTTTAGTGTAAAAAAAAATATAAAAAAAAATTAAAAAAAAATCTGTTCCGTCACCCGAGAATGGTGACAATTCTGCGTCGATTCCACTTTGTTTCATGAAAATCGGTTCAGTTGAACTGGAGATATCATGGCCGCCAGTTCGAAAAACGTGGTTTCGAGATAAACGCGTTTGAAGTTTGAAAAAAGCTCATTTTGCGAAGACCTTGCTTCACAAAAAAGGCTGTATCTTCTAAAGTATTTCGAATTTCTAAACATCCTTTTGGGGACATATACAGACCATCCCAAGCTATGAATAAATGCAAAAAAAATCGAAAAAAAAAGTTGCCCAATGAGAAGACCCCCTTAATACATAGTATTTCTTAGTATCTACAGGATAAATTTTACTAAAACTTAGTGATTTAACGCCCTTTCGGGGCCCATAACGACTTAAAATAGGGTTGCTCCAGTAACCCTTAGTGAACTTTTGACTGTATTCAAAGCTACTTCGCACATAAATTTCAGATTGATCACAATAAATTAGGGCAGGTGAGGAGCAGAGGGTTTTGAATAATTTATTTCATTAGAGTTATTTTAATTCAGATTTGTATTTAATCAATTGGAATTAAGGTGAAATTACATTTGTATTGCTCATTTGTTCACAGGAATATTAAGTAAGGTAAATTTGATAATAGAGTTAGTCCCAACTCTTAATTTGTTCATACTTCCAACATCGCCGTTGCCAAAGATCTCACATCACTATGACAGAATGAGTATTATACAAGATTGCGCTATAACTAATTTTAATTTGTTTAAATATTATAAATATTAAACCATGTAGACTAAACGCGACTGATTCTGAAAGATCTTGGTCTCAACCTTGATGGTTCGAAAACGAAATATGAGGACCCCATAACTTATTTTGATGCCTTACTGGTACGCTCAAATATTCCTTGTGACATTTTTTGCTACAACATAGCACAAAAAATATAGGGGAAAATAATGAAGTTAGGAAAAAGCAATATAACTGATATGTTCGTCTTAAATATTATAGTAGAAAGACTAAGTTTTCATTTGAGGCAATGATCTTGTATAAGCACGGTTTTCGTTTCATTAGGCTTTGAAACGTGCCAAAACAAGCCGATTTTTATACTTTGACTCCGACTTTGGTACGTGATAGAAACTTTTTGTTTTTAAATTAAGTAAGATCGTAACATGCCTAGATCTTTCAGAATTAGTTGCGATTATTCACCACGTAAAAATAAAAAAAATAAGTAATTTTCTTTGTTTAGAAATATAAATGCCTCGTGGATGTTGGTTATCTGACGAAAAAAAGGGAGAATAAGGGCCTACAACGATTCTGGCTTTAAACATGTGGTTTTTTTCTCAAATTTTTTTAATTTTGCTGAATATGATGTGAAGCAAAACTTGGGGGGAAACCCAAGTTGTCTGACCGTAATGAACGTCGCATAATAGTTAGATCTAGCAATTCGAAATATTGAATATTATTACAAAACTTAATGCGATTCCCAAAGTATTCGAATTAAAAAAAAATTTTTTTTTTTTCATATTGGTGGTAGCTCAATAATGTTCCTCTCACTGCACAGCTTTATGATATGGGCATTTCCACAGAAAGGTCCACCGCGGCCAAAACACTAAAACTTCGCTAAAATGTTTTTTTTTCCAACATAGTAACATTAGAAAAAGGCCAATTGATTAAATTTGAAGGGCTTTATCATATTCTAAAACAAATTTCGAAATATTCGAATGCATATTCGCGCAAACACGATTTTTCATTATTTTGATGAAAAACATCATAAAAATGGGCCTGTTTTCTTTTGATAATTACATCCAAACCGAGGCACTAACTGTTGACTGTTGTTTATTAACATCACTAGAAGAATGCAAAAATTCGAAATAAAATGAATATATGTTCTTCCCATTTACTTATAATAGTAAAAATTACATGCAAAGTATGATGATAAAAAATGTCGCGTGCGATTCTGATTAAATTAAATAAAAAACAAGAAAGGAAGCTAACTTCGGCACACCGAAGTTTGTATACCCTTGCAGATTGGTTTTGATGTTTATATTATAAATTTAAATAATGAAAACACTCACGAAACAGAGTTTCATTACATTTTACCTATACTTATTATGTTTACAGTTTGGCAGTTACAGTTTTACCAAAGACAATAGATTTAACAAGATGCCTTACGACCATACATTCGTTTTGCAATATGAGGCTGCATTTTTGATGGCAACGACAATCGCGTTCTAAAAATAGAATGCGTTTGCTTGTATGAGTAAACACAAGAACACGCAAGCGCGTATGTGTGCGAGAATATGTGTGCGCCAGCGCGCAAGCACCAAAAAATCAAATTTTTATGTTTTGTGCTGGCGACCGCTTGTTAGGAGGCGATGCACAGTAGCGCCTCTCGAACAAATAGCTTTGCAAAAATCGAAAAAGTCATGTTCGCAAAAACGATTTTAACCATACTTATTTGACAGAACATTTCTCAAAGATTGAGAATCTGTAATAAAATCAATTAAAATTTTTTTTTAATTCTAAGTGTAACGGCCACAAAACCGTGAGCGCTACAGTTAGCATATTTTTTTTTATTATTATGCAGTACATATATATATTTTACAACAATTATCTGTCCGTTCAAATTATTAGGTTATCTTATTTGGTTCAAAATATATGATTTTTGCAACGCTAAATGAGAAAAGGCGCTACTGTGCGATAGTAGCGGCAGCAAAAACAGCTGATCTCGAATATAGATTGTATTTGTATACAAGTTCAATCCAGAAAATCAGTTAACTAAATTTTATTTTCATCTGTATGTATATTTTATAATTTTATTATTAAATAAATATGCAAAATAATACAAATAATTGATTTAAATACATTCATAATTACATATGTATTTACAATTATCTAATTCAATTGACTAATAAATTAACAATATATTATTATGATTCATACATTATAAAAAATTCATTTATAAATCAATAAGTATATAAAATTAAAGAGATGTTAAAATAAAAAATAAATTTATTTGCGAAATTGGCCTTCTGAGGCCCGTTTGCACACAAACACCCGACGGCGTCGCTGAATGCGTACAAGAGAACGGCTGGCTCTAGAGCGCTCTCTTCGCTGGCTTTTGAACAAAATTTAAGAGAGCCTGGAGCCAGTTCAAAAGCCAGCACGAAAAAATCGTGTGCAAAAAAATCGTATGGCGTTATTTATCTTATAGCTCTATTGTCTTTGGTTTTACATTCCCAGCTTTACATTTTCTCTATATTTAACGATCGTTTATATGGCAGCTATATGATATAGTTGTCCGATTTTCATAAAATTTGTACCAAAATTCTGAAATAATAAAAGACGCTTATATCTAAAAGTAGATAAGAATATGTTGAAAAACAACGAAGATTTAATTTTTTTCCTATTCATTTTCCGATCGTTCCTATGGCAGCTATAAGATATAGTCGTCCGATTTTCATAAAATTTTTACCAAAATTCTGAAATAATATAAAATGGCTATATCTCAAAAATGATTCAAAAATATTGAAAAACGCTAACTTATAATTTTTTTTCTAAAAATTTATCGAACATTTGTATGGGAGCTATATGATATAGTCGTCCGATCCGGCCCGTTCCGACATATATAGCAGTGAGAGTATATAGAAGACTATATGCAAAGTTTCATTAAGATAGCTTTAAAACTGAGGGACTAGTTTGCGTAGAAACGGACAGACGGACAGACGGACGGACAGACGGACGGACAGACGGACATGGCTAGATCGACTCGGCTGTTGATGCTGATCAAGAATATATATACTTTATAGGGTCGGAAAGGTCTCCTTCACTGCGTTGCGAACTTCTGACTGAAATTATAATACCCTGCAAGGGTATAATAAACTACGCTATATTTCTGATTGTAAATTAAAGCATGTGAAACTGGCATTACTGCATCACATTTTAAAATTAGTTTCAATAAAATAATCCCTGCCGTTTCGCTGAAATCAGTGTTTAAACAGCTCACCGCAAAAGTGACTTCTGTTTGAGCAAACACTCAAAATCAACATTTGCACCAATTATAGTCCTAGGCAAGAGCTATAAGTTAACATTTATAAAAAAAATGGAAATAAAATGTACCATACTTTTTTTTTGCTTTGAATGCGTACGAATGTCGCGTGCGACATTATGGAAATGCCCATATGCAAATCAACGTCTACTCGAGTTTGTTGCTGTCGCGTTTATAAATAGCACCCAAACCGATGTTATCTTTACAGATTTTATATAGAGGAGATGGGAGTGACAGTAAGAAATTGTTATTATCGGAACGTGGGACCCGGGACTCGAATTTACGCGCACCTAACTTTATTGTTGAAGGCTGGTTGGTTCGCAGCAACCGACCTGGTCGACACAATGACCCAGAATCTGGCGGGGCACACGCTCTGCTTCCCGCTATCTGGCTGGGTCGTACACTGCTTCAGCGCACTCCTGACGGAGTTGTCCCGATCTTGC